AGCCAACTTTGCACGCATGGCTCAGAGTGACCCCATCCCCAGGGTGAGGAAACAGGCAGCTTACGTCCATCTAGCATGGGTTGGAGGCTGCTCCAGAGGGACGGGAAAGGCCGCCAGACCTGTCCTGTGTACAGGCAGAGTGGGCTCCGGTGACCAGACAAAGCCCTCCAAGGTGGGTCACAGTGGGACAGCTGGAAGTCGGGAAAAACGCTAGGTGCCAAGGAGACGCAATGAGGCACGGACAGCATATACGACAAAAAGCGATCTCGTTGAGAAGACACAGGGTCTGAACATGTGGGGAAGATTCAGACAGCAAGCAGAGCGTTGGACTGAGCTGGTGATAGAAACTAAATGGGAAAAAAAAAAAGACGAAAATTCCAAAGGAGAAAAAAGTTGGGCGTAAAAGGAAAAGAAATTATAGGTTACTACAGGGCTCTTGGGTGAGTAGCTTTCACGTAGTCATGACGCTAAACACTGACTACTGAGCTAATCAGAATTACGTTATCCTGCAGCAGGAGAATCGGCAGAGACAGGTGCGCCGGCTGGAGGCAGGCACAGGAGGCTACACTGCAGAACGATGAGTCTTTCGACTCTGTGTACGAAAACTTTTATAAAGGAGGAAGTGGAAAGAAGAGCCAGTGCTGGCCTGGTGGCCTCTGTCCCCACCTGCCTCCAGGATTCAGGCAGGTACAGTCACAATAACAGGTCACCTGTTATGAAAAACACGGGTGTCTTGGGACCAACCCTGCTCGAAAACTGCATTCCAATCTCAAATAAAAGACCGACCAATCGACTCAGAAGCCGGTCCTTTGCCATATTAGGGAGCACCTCTGGGTATCAGAAAGTTCTGCGGGGAGACTCATAGACATGGACACTAGACTAGTGGTTACCAGGGGGTGGGGGGAGCGGAGGTAGATGGGGTAAAAAGGGTCAAATACGTAAAATTGGAAGTTATGTAAATTACATCAAGTGAAGATACATAGATATAGATATAGATATGTTCTCCAACGACCCTCCTCCTCACCGCTCCCCCAGTGCTTAGTAAAATAAAATTCCAAAGTCTGAAAAATTAAGTGTAGCCTTTGCTCCTAAACATAATCATTAAAATAAAGTGGCAGAGAATTCTGGGCCCAGGGTTACAACCTTAGATATCTGAACTCACTGGTAAGGTACACCTGAGCCCCACCTTGCAAAGGGCCTGCAGAAATCGCTTCTGCACTCTGAGCCCCCCTTTCTCCCTCAGCCTGTCTGTCTGAGGCCGCCCCCCACCTGCCTCTTCTTTCAGTCATGCCAAATACCTGGGTAGCACCTTGGTTTTAAAAGCATCACGGTCTCCAGTCTCTCATTTGACCTCACCCTGACCCATCCACAGGTGAAACTCCACGGCCCAGAGGGTTGAGGGATTCGCCCGACGACAGGCGTTAGAGGGGACATGCACAGAAACGGGGTCCCAGAGGGGGTTCCCGCAGTTACCAAGGCTTCTCAAGCCTCACGCGTGGAGGGAATCTGGGGGTCAGGGAACTTGCGTGGGAATAAAGGCTCCGCCTTCGGTGTCACCGCCCTTCAAGTGACGTTCCCGCTTCCTCCATATGAAGGTGGCCAGAGCCACCGCGCCAGCGGCAGTGTGACCCCCACAGAGACTGGACCTCCTTCCCGCCAGTCACGGCTGCCAGACCTCTGGAAGCACAGTGTGTGCCCATCACCCCCCAAGGCCACCGCCGCGGCCACTGCCGCGGGACCGGCCGTCTGCTGCCTCCGCAAAGACGCCCGGACGTCCCCGCGTCGCAAGCCTGCCCTCCTTTCCGCGGTGGGCTCCATCTCCAAGGCCCCGTGTCCCAGGCCCCTGAAACCCCGCTTTCTGGGAAAGGATGCGCGCGCAGGCTGCAGACGACCCAGCCTGGGATTTAAGATCGGGACTCCCGCGGCCGGAGCCCCGGGG